TATCATTACATAAATTTTAAAATGTTGACCAATATTGCTTTGATTGAAATTGGATTTATACTCCTATGTTCGCCCATCAGAGTGTTTTAAATCTATCATAACTATTCTCATAAAATTTTACTCCCACCTTTAAGACACTCACGTATGTTATATATCCATTGCTTTATAATATCAAAAAGTCATATTCGTCAATGAATTATATCAAGTTGAAACGAATATGATGTAACATACCTGATACATAGGATATATTAAAAAGGTCTTCGCTGAATGACCTTCGCTGTATACCAATCTATTAAGCAATTCAACAGGGAACACAGATGATAATTGCTTGCATTCAATCAACACTTGAAGACTGTAATGATGGTTTCTGTCGTATTCTTGATAAATTGGTAACATTGGTAGTAACACGTCGAACAAATCACCTAAAATCATCAAGCATTTCGTCAAGATTCTTGTACTTTGTGCATGTGTCGTTCGTTATCACTAGGCTGCGGATTTTTAAGTATTTATGGAAAATTTGGACGTGATAATTGAATAATCATTTTATTACAAAATAAAATTGCACAGAATAAAATATTCGAAATATAGTGCTTCCTATAATATTTGATATTCAATCGATATTTAACTTAATCAAGTAATTAATTTATATATTTCATTGCAATAATATCTAATATACGATATTATTATAATATTTAATTTAATAATTATTATTTCTATAATATTCAATAATTATAACATAATTATAATTATAATTTATATAATATTCAATACGTAAGTAAACCAATATTTTATTTTATATTTTTAATTGTATTCCCAGAAGTACGAATTTGCATAAATGTCCGCAGTCTAATTATCCTAATGAATTCGAATACTAAGTATGAACGATTACAATATTTTCGTTGTTATATTCGTTTCTGCCGGATATTCAAAATTTAATGAAATGGCGACAAAAGAAATCGTACACTGATGTATTTTCAGAATTTTTGTAAAATCTAGTGATAGACCAAAATAAGTTTAAAAAATAAATGGTAAAAAGATATAGCATACTTTTACAACACATAAGTATATTTGACAAGAGTGATAAATAATTGTAAAATATAATCTTTAAAATAGATGACGACTAATAATAATAATAAAGAATATAATATTTAATAGACTATCGACGCTCAAAGCGTTCTTGTTGAAAACTTTCTTTTATTCGCCATTACATAGTACTTATATACAAACATAATTGATAAATAAAATAATATAAATAAAATGATAATCGTGATAAATAAAATAATAAATTGTATACATGTATAAATACAATCACTATTAGCGAAACTTTTAAACATTTGATTCAATAATAGTAATTGAATTTACATATCTGAACAACTATATCTTACATTTTCTGAAGCAAAAC